ACTCCACACTTTAAAATGACACTAAATGAACGGGGCAGTACGTCATTTTCTACCCAATATCAGAGATGAGGTAAATTATTAGTATTGCAAAGGCAGAACGCTTTTTTTTTCAACATACTAACTGGAGGTGCACTCATATGTAGATGACTTTGTTTTGTTATCCTTATTTTATCCTTATTCATATTTTCAGTTACAGCTGGGTCATTTCTACCTTCTCCTCTCTGTCAACGCTCTCTGGTTTCATTTAAAAGAGTCGATCATCAGATATTGTCCAAGATTAACCTTCAGGGTGGATATAGCTCGCTCACACCGAGGACCTATCCACGTCATCATTTACCCAGAATGCTTTGCATGTAAATAAAATGGGTCAGTCCGTGTAATATATTTTTAAACTTTTAGTTTAAAAATTATAAAAACTAAACATCCTACAGTATATTTACAGTCTTTATTTTACAGTTAAAATATATGTTGATTAAATAAAGTCTAATGTTACAACTAATCGGGGATCCCTTTAAGCTTTTCAAGCTAAAAGATGAGGATTGCATTAAACCTGTATAAATACTGTAATAAACATAACCTGTCAGGTTGACTTCAGGCTGAGATCTTTCCTCAGTGTTAATTTTGCTATTTTTATTTTTTGCTAATATTTGGCTACTTTTACTTTTTTGTGACTGTTTTGTTAATTTTAGCTTTTAGCTTCTGCTTTGCTGGTTATCTGTTCTGCTTGTTGTAACTTTAACAATTCATGTACTCAGCACTCAGGTAGTTTCTCTCAGTTAAATCTGCAGAGCTGTGTAGCTTTAACCTTAGAAGCATGGTTAGCAGCTGAACAATGAGGGAAGTGAGCGACAAAGATCAGTACCTGTCCATTGAGAGCTGAGCCACCAGAGTGACATCGCTGTTGTCCGAGCTGATCTCGTACTCGTAGTGGAGGAAGTAAAGATGCGTTCGATGGAGTGTGAAGCGCTCTCTGCGGAACTCGTAGCAGGGATCATCTTCGTCGAGCTCTAACAAAGTCCTCTGGAGCTGCAGACAGACAGGAGGTGGAGACAACATGAGTTTGTTTCCATCCAAAGCTTTGGGTCTCTGCTGGTTAGAAAGTCAAAGTTAGGGGTCGACTGATTTTAGCTGCAGAACATCAAGTTGATTCCAGTTCTGTTTTTATACCTGTTTTTTATTAAACAGAACCAGAGAAGTTAACCAGATTTTCTTTTAAAACATTAACAACTGTCAAAAGCAGTGCTGAGAGTCTGAAGATATAAAGAAAGATTTTGTTTAGAATCAGGATTTATGGTCAAACTGAAACGGAGCACTTTCTTTACTGTGGTGACACTAAAGTCAGACAGTTTTGTGTTTGGCTTCTTAAATTGTATTCAAGAAATACAAATCATTTTTGATATATAAATGCTTTAAATAAATGATATATACAGCGGGTAAAATAAGTATTGAACACGTCACCATTTTTCTCAGAAAATATGTTACTAGAG